CTGGGGTCTCTCCAGTCCCCTCCACTCCGTGCCTTTTCCCCCCTCTCTCTTCTCCCCCCCCCCCACATATGTTGTTGTGTTGAGGGGTGCTGGGTGGGTTTGGGTGGGTGTGGGGTGCTGAGGAGGTTTGGGAGGAGGTTACAGGGGGATTCAGGAGGGAATTGGAGGGATGCTGGCAGTGGGGGGCTTTGTAAGGATGCTGGGCAGGGGGAAGATGGGAGGGTGCTCTGGGTGAAGGGTTTGGGGGATGCTGAAGAGGGATTTGGGGAATGGTGCTGCAGGGACTTAGGAAGGAAGCTTGGGAGGGATGGGGAGGGATGCTGGGGGTCTTAGGAGAGATGCTGCTGCAGGCTGAGGGGTTTGGGTGGAAGCTGCAGGGTGGGGGTGCAGACACAGACCCATCAGCACCTCCTGCTCAGCAGAACTGGGCTTTGTGGGGTGCTGAGGGTCACCCTACCCTTTCCAAGGATCCTTGCCAGCCGTGGGGCAGGACCCCCCTCCTCTGGCAGGCTCCCCCCTTTCAGGGTCTGCAAAGCCAAGAGGAAGGAGCCTTATTTCTCCCGGAGCCCCAGTGGATGAGGGGGTACCCACATTTGGGGTGTCCCCCTCTATTTGCTTTGGGGATGGATTAATTCACTGCCTTGGGGCAGCGCTGGGTCTGCCAGAGGATGATTTGGTGCAGTTTTGGGTGCTTTGGGCTCAGGAGGGGTGGATTAGGGGACACAGGACAAGAGACCAGCAGCTGGTTCAACCCTGGAGACGGGGTTTTCAGCCTGCACAGAGCTCTGCCAGCATCAAACTCCTGCAGTGCTGAAGCATCCAGACATTTCATCAAGAGCCTCATAAAAACGCCCAGGAGGGAATTAATGGCTTTTCATTCATCCCATGGCTCAGATGGTATCCAGCTCCAGGGCCGCTGAGTGGGGAGGCAGGAACAACGTGCCGTGGGTTTCTGCCAGCACAGCGAGGGGTTTGGTGGCCCTGGCTTTGTCCCAGAGGGGCGGTGGGATGGGTCCGGGCAGGAACTGGGAGCACAGGGATGGATTTAATGTGCACATCTTGGGGGCTGCACTTGGGATGCACCACCCTCTTTACCTGGAGGGTGTTCCCATTCCTGTGACGAGGCAGCACAGAGGGGTACACGCTGCACGCGGTCCAGGACACGGGGTTTAAGGACCTTCCCGGGGTGAAAACCCCCTCCCAGACCCAGAGCGAGGTGTTGAGTCCCTGCCCTGCCCGGCTCTGACGCAGGAGGGCTCCTGATCACTCCCAGAGGGAGGAAAACGTCAGGTCAAGGAGTGTAAACCAGCTTTTAGCGTGGCTGAGGAGCTCTTCGGAAGAGGACTCATCCCTTTCCTTGGCCCCCGGCACGGCCGGAGCCCCCAGCCTGACCCTTTTCCAAGGGGTTATCCACAAAGGACTAATCATCCTGGCAGGTCTCAGCAAACACGTCCTCTCGGCTCAGCTCCTCTGGAGTTGCTTTAATTTCATTCTTTTTTTCTTTTTTTTTTTTTTTCCCCAGCTGGAATGTTAAAAATAAACCCAGAGGACGGATAAAACAAATGGAAAAATCTTTAAAAGGGATTTGGTGATCGTCTGCCTGCACTCAGCTGTTGCTGCTCTGCCTGCCCAGCCCGGCCACTGCCATGGACGGGGGTTTCCAAAATTGGGGAAACTGAGGCAGGGGGGGGCATGTTGGACAGGAGGGCATCACCCCTTTGAGGTGCACAGAGAATCCTGAACCCCACTGCTGATGCTGGGAATTCTCTCTGCACCCTGAGTTTCACCAATGAAAGGAATTTATCTCCCCTGGGAGGGTGGGGAGGCCCTGGCACAGGTTGCCCAGAGAAGCTGTGGCTGCCCCTGGATCCCTGGAAGTGTCCAAGGCCAGGTTGGAGCAACCCAGGCTAGTGGAAGGTGGGACTGGATTATCTTTGAGGTCCAAACCCATCCTGTGGTTCTGTGCTCTTAGATGGAGTCCTGCTCTCCCATGGGGTTGCTCCTCTTGGGAAGTTCTCCATGGCAGTGCCTTAGCTCTTATTTTCTTATTGTCTCCTCCGCACCCTGAAAAATGGATAAATAATAAATCAAATGGAGGAAGTGAGAGAGATACTGAGGCTGTCAAGGAGGAAAATTCACATTACTCACCTGCCTGGTGAGCTGGGATCCATCCAGGGGGATTTACAGCTGGAGCCCCTGACGGCAGCGTTTTGATTTACTCAGAGGCTGCAAACTTGACAAAGTATATTTCACACTGGAAAGACCCACTTTCCCCCTGGAATTTATTGGTTTTAATTAAAATGGCCATAAAAATAACAGGCAGGAGCCTTGAATTTGCTCTGGCAGGACTCCAGTCAAAATCCGTGGGAATCTCTGGAGGTTAATTCAATGGAGGAGGAAATGGGGCGGTGGGCAAAGGTTTCTCCCCAATGATTTTTAGGAATTCAGAAGGGCACTAAGCCTCTGTAGGTGCTTCTCACCTTGTCTTACCATGGCCCTGTTAGAGAGAGCCTTGGACAGAGCTCTGGTGACACCAGAGCTGCATCCTGTGCCCAGGTGGGAGCCAGGGCAGCTCTGCCAGGTGTAGAACTGTGATAAGAAATATGTCCATGTCTAAAATATAAATACATAAAAATATTTAGATGTTTTCATGTAATTTCCAGATTGGGAGCCAGCTGGAGTCCTGCCTGTGACATTTCAGGGCTGTGGTGTAGAGATGGGAAGCTCTAGTTTTTACTCCTCCTCCCTAGTGCCCATCTTCATGGAATCATGGAATCATGGAATGGTTTGGGTGGGAAGGGACCTTAAAGCTCATCCAGTTCCACCCCCCTGCCATGGGCAGGGACACCTTCCACTAGACCAGGCTGCTCCAAGCCCTGTCCAACCTGGCCTTGGACACTTCCAGGGATAGAAGTGCTCCCTTTTTGCTGTTTTTTTTAGCCCCAGACCTGAAGAAGCAGTGCTGGGACAGCTGAGTGCATTGGCTTTCAGCTGGGGTGAGGGTTGTTTTTGGCAAGAGGAGTGGCCCCCAGTGCCTCCCCCTGGGCTCTCCTGCTTCCCTCACAGTCCCTGTGTCTGTCTCTCACCTCCCAGTGCTACAAAAGCAGGATTTTTATTTGTGCAGGGGTTTACCTTTAGAGCAAATATCACCCAGACCTGGAGCTCTGCGTCTGTGATCGATCCTGTGGGGATGTGGACAGGGTGACTGAAATGCACCACATCCCAAAATAACCCTGTTGGGGCAGCAAATGGACAAACCCCTCAACAAATCCACTGCCCTAGAAGTCAAAATCAGATGCTGCTTGGAAAGCCTCTGGAATGTTTCACCTGCACCCTGCCAAGAGAAGGAATTATTTACCTGGTTTTGCTCTTGGTAGTGAAAACCACACACAAAAGGAGTAGGATTGTGTTTGCACCATCCATCCACCCATCCATCAGTCTGTCCATCCACCCCATCCATCCACCCATCCATCCATTCATCCATCTCCTTGTAGAAGTGATGCACCAGCCCTTGCAGAGGGATTTGCCAGCCCCTCCCTCTCCCCCTCTCCCTGAGCTGCTGTTACCCTTCTCCAGGGTCTGATCCCCCCATCCCAATTCAGAAACCCTTCTCCAGGGTCTGATCCCCCCATCCTAACTCAGAAACCCTTCTCCAGGGTCTGATTCCCCCCATCCCAACTCAGAAACCCTTCTCCAGGGTCTGAT